CTTAAATATCTTTTTCAACAAATATAATTTTTAAATTTATTTACGCGAATGTGGTACATTATAGTCCTGTGTCATTGAAATACATTTATAGATGATGTTTTATGGTTTTCAAATATTTTTTCATAGGCAAAATCAAAGTCACAAGTGTTAATTCTACTTTATCCCTTCAAGTATCACCATTTTTTTCTTTTGTTTATTCATAAATTATCAATTCCATTAGTGTAGTCCTTAAAGTTTATTTCATTTCATTTGATTTCATTTCGTGTTTTTTTAATTGAGGACGGTTATACAAATCAACAATTATTAAAGGGTGAATTACACCAACGGTCCCTATAATTTGATTTTTGTGTCACTTTGGTCTTTGGCTTTTCAATTGTGACACATTTGACTCTGAATTTTAAATCTTGTTCCAAATAAGGACAATTGAAGATACTATTGGATTTTTCAAGGGCAAATTCATCAATTTGATAAAATATAAATTAATTTGACAAAAATAAATGTCAAAAAATTATTTTTGAATTTTTTAAAATTATTTCTACCTACTAAAGATAAAATTATATAAAATTGATAAATCTTTTAGACATTTATTTTTTTTACCAAATTAATTTTTATTGTGTATTTGGATGATGATCATGTAAAATTAATTTTTAAAAATTAATAATGTAATTTTTATTAATTTTTTATCAATTTTACATAATTTTATCTTTAGTGGGTAGAAATAATTTTTAAAAATTTTAAAATATTTTTTTGATATTTATTTTTGTCAAATTAGTTTATATTTTATCAAATTGATGATTTTGCCCTTGAAATTAAGCAATGATATGTTCAATTGTCCTTATTTGAAACAAGATTCAAAATTCAAGATCAAATGTGTCACAATTGAAAAGTCAGGGACTAAAGTGACATAAGTTCCAAACTATAAGGACTATTAGTGAAATTTGCCCGTTATTAAAACCTAATTTAATAGTAAAAAGTTCATTTTAAAATTTATATAATTTAACTATACAACCAAATATCCATCAAAATTAGTTTCAACTTCCAAGATGTAATATGTTAAAAATAGGAAGAAAAATAATAAATTACATTAACCTTTCTTGAGAATTGGAGAAAATATGACAAATCTTATAATTTTGGCATAATTATATTAGATTCATTTAACACTTAGCTCATTTTTCATTAATTATCCATTCGTCATATAGATAGAAAATAATATTGTCATTTATTTAATAATGAAATGCATATTATTCATCATTTATCATTGTGTTTTCATACAATTTGTATTATTTTCGATTCTTTTAGTCATACTAAAAGAGAGATCAGTGTAGTTATACCAAAACTACAGGCCTTGCAATATATTCATTAGCATATTGAAAAATGAGTGTTTAATTGTATCATGCAAGTTTTTTAAATTTTAAAATGACATTTTGGCCATTAAATTAAATTTTAACGGTTAATGATTTGTCTAATTATTTCTAATTAGATCAAATGAACTGAAATAAAATAAAAAATAAAATTTAGAAACTAATTAAATAAAAATTAATAGTTTAAGAATAAAAATAAAATAAAATTTAGCGTGCGGGTGTGTGTGGTGATGGTAGCTTATAGTTAGGGATGATAAACGAATCAAATAGTTTGAGCTCGACTTGTTAAAAGTTCGTTTGAGCTTGGTTTGTTAAATAAACAAGTTAAATGTGAACACATTTTAAAACTCGTTAATGTTTTTAAATCAAGCTTGAAGAGACAATTACTTGTTCGACTCGGTTCAACTAGCTTAAAATTATATAAATTACTAAATTACTCGAGCTCAGCTCAATAAAAACTCGTTTAAAATCTACTCAAAAATTTAACGAACTAAACTTGAACAAATTTTGAAACTCATTAAAGTGTTCAAATTAAGTTTGAACAATTAATTGTTCAGATCGTTTGGTTTGTTTATCACCCCTACTTATAGTCATTTTTTTTTTTTTCCGATTTGTTTTTGCTTTTAGTATATATTTTTAAAAAAAATTATGTCAACTTTTCTTATTTTATCTTATATTTCTATTCCGTTTGTGTGTACAAATCAAAAGTAAAACAAAATTAAAAACTTTAAAAAATGTGAAGAAGCCAAAATAAGTATATAAAAAAAAAAGTCCACTATTTTTTACGTATTTTTTGTCTTTTTTTTTTGGAATTTTTAATTTTTAATTTTTTAAAAAAAAATTTGTCCACGATTTTTTAAAAAACTTTAAAAAAAAATTCATTATAGACAAAAATTAGTTAAAAATAAATAAATAAAAGAGCAAATGCTAAACACCTCATGATGGCTCGGGTTGTGCAAGCTTTTTGGGCCAACACTTCTCTCTCGCAAATCCAGATGAATGACATTCCAATAACGACAACTTTCTCGCCACCCAAACGGACTCATACCCAATTTTCCCGCCCAAACCCGGATCTATCCACTGAGACTCCCCAATCAGACATCCTCAGGATTCTCCCAATACGCCACTTCCCACCAGGTAATCTCCCTCCTCCATGATATGTTCTTGAGGATCTTTATTTATTTAAATGTTTATTCAGTTTTTGAGTTTCTAAATACACGTATTAATGTCGATTCTTATGTACCCTATTTGCTCAGAAAATGAGGGAATTGGAAAAGAATTAGCCAACCCAGTAGAGTTAAAAGCCAAATCTAAGGGGAAATTGAAGAAACGGAAAGGAAATTTGAACATTTTTATGTACTAATAAAAATGAAAAACTCATTTCCATCTACCCAAATAGTCTTCACTTGCTTCGATTACTTGGAGTTTTAGTATTCTTGAATTTTCTCAGCAACCAAACAGAACATAATCAATTACTGTTTAGTCCTTGAAATCCCTAAGCAATCACTTCAATTAAAATCTAATTCCTTGCGTATTAATGTATAACATTCTGTGTTGAAATTCTCAATGCATTCAACGAGGACATGGCAAACAGTGGATTACATTAAGAGGCAAATTCGGAGAGAACAAAACTATAAAAATCGAGGCTTTACATGGGACCTCATTTCACATGATCTAGCATTATCACAATAACATATGTAATGTTTTAGTTTTTCAACGAGTGGTTAATATCTTTCTCTTTTTTTGTGGACCTTTTAGTTTGGATTATTTAGTTTTTGGCTGATGACAAGCTGAATTGATTATTTATTTATTGGTAAAATATTTCAGTAGTATCCATTGAATTTTCTGAGTTGTTCATCTCAAAATAAAGCTTTTAGTAAATATGCATTTTTTTTTTTTTTCCAACCCAATTCTACTTCAAATTAATTTGAGAACCAAGTTGGAGGTTGACTGAGGGCAATGAGGAAACTAGTCTCTGACTAATAAAATTTTAGATATCAAGACATTGTATGAATACTTTTGATCTTTTTATGGTTTACTGGTTGGGCTAGTTTCATGAGAGTTCTTGTTTACTTTGTTTTTAAAAAACTTCTTCCTTATCACGCATAAATGTGTCAGTCTGCAATCTTATGGTTTGGTCATGACTGTGTTTGGTTTTTTTATTTGGTTGCTGTCAGGGATTGGGCTAATAAACTTCAGAATGCACTTTTTGACTTCTTGAAGGCAAGCAGGGTAAATGATGACCTTTCTGTTTTCTTGCATGAATTTATGATGAACAAGGATCAAATTGAGAATATTCAATTGTTGAGAAAAATCAAACTTTTCGTGGAGAAATAGGGGACTATATATATATATAAATATAATATTTCATCTAATATACTAGGTGTTGTATTTTCAACTTTTGCATTGATTAAAGTAAGTTTTGCTCTAGAATATATGTTAAGCATTTTGCTCAAGCATGCATCTAATTTGGTATGTCTGAGGTGTGAATACTAAAAAGCATGTAAACAATGTCCTTTGGCATTGGTATTGATTTGAAATGAATTCCCTAGAGGCTAGAACTAAATCATCTGGTGGTTCTAAATCTCTTTTTCTGTTAATGAAATAAGATGCTGAGTTGGTGGTAGAATTTGCTAGGTATAACCGATTCAGGAGTTGGAACACCATTGATGTAGGGTATAAGAAGCTCCTGGAATGTTAAACTCAAAGAAATGATGATACTTGAACATTGGCATGATTTTATAGAGAAATTAATAGAAATCTTCTATAATTATGTTTCTTGTATTATTAGAGCCTTATTTTATTATTATTTTTTAGGATTTTTAAGGTTAGGGGTATGTTGGTAATTTTATATTTGCTGACATGGGTTGCCCATGGGTCATCTTGTAGGTCCAGTTATTTAATTAGTCTTTGTTTTTGTTTCTTATTTGTTTTAGATTAGTTTTAAAAGTCAAAGATATTATAATAGTTTCATTTTTTGGTCATAGTTGGTTTTGGAATTCTTCTAATTCTATATATAACCATGTAATGCTTATAATTCAACAGAGTTGATATTTTATAAAAAAAATTGAGAGCTTTGAAGTTTCTTTACGGATTGTGTGATGCAATCAAACCCTAGGTGCGATGCCTAAGGGATTTTCTAATTGATTCCTAAACCTATCTTCTTCTCCTCTTTCTTCTTTTTGTTTCAATTTACTATTCTCGAATTACTATTCACAGTACTCTAAAGTGTACTTTTTAACCTCAAAACTCCATCCAATCACCCTCAAATCAATCCTAATCCCTTACCCTACATATTAGCCTTCAATTTAACCCTTGAAATCCTAAATTACTCACTGCTTAGGCCATCAAATAACCTCTGTTTTCAAAATCCAGCATTGTTCCTACTTGTTTTGCATCAACCATATTGTACAATACACAAAAAATCTATAAAATATGTGGATTACATTATGTTAGAAAGTTTATTTCAACATAGCAAATGGATAGCTTCAGACATACATCGGAAAGCAATCCATTAACAGTGGCAACATTATGCTATTGTGCTAGATTACTTGGAAAACAATCAGAATCCCCAATTAATGCTCATAAAATCACATCAATATCTCCTCTACTGGCTAATTGAACAAACACAGTTCCATTCTAACGAGGAACGGCCTCAGGGGACTTAACTGTACCGAACTGTTCATTACAATTCCGCCAAGTCTCTTGCAATTGCAGTGCATACCGGAGGTTACCCAACACATCATCCATCGATGGACGCTCAATCCCCTCATCACACACACAATTTTCTGCAATCTTGACATATTTTTTCAAACATTCTGGTGCTATTTTGTTGGTTAGATACGGATCAATGATCTGATCAATAGTACGCATTTCGATATTAGTTTTGAACCAACGAACTAAATTCACTTGTTCCTCGTCCCTTGAATAGATCATTGGCTTCCTACCACACAATAGTTCAAGTAAGATGACGCCGAATGAGTACACATCAGATTTTATAGTAAATTTTGCATTGCCAAGGTATTCTGGATCCATATATCCCACAGTGTATGTACTTGATACAGCCTCGTATAGTACTTTTGCATTCCAATTCTCATCCAACATAATATAGCTTGGATTCAGGTCCTGATGAATGATTGTTTGCCTTGTACCCGCATGGAGGTATTGTAGTCCTTGTGCAACACCAATGCAAATCTCAAGTCGCTTTTCCCAGTTTAGTGTATACGTGTTGGTTTCATTGAGGTGATTGGAGAGAGGCCCATGGACCATATACTCATACACAACGATCACTTCATGCTTATCGATGCAGTATCCAATTAAAGAAACAATGTGGGGGTGATGGAGATAGGAGTGCACTTGGAGCTCAACCCTAAATTGGTCCAAGTTCCTCTCTCTTGATGTTCCTTCTTTCCATCTTTTAATTGCCACCACAATATTCCCGTGGTTGATATGGCCTCTATACACTTTGGTGTCAACAGACTGCCCAATCACCAGAAGCTCATGAAAATTATTTGTGACTACTCGAATCTCCTCCAGAGAGAAACGACGGAATGATTGAATGACACCATCCTCAACCAGATCCCTCCACAACTGCCTTGACACCCCATTCTTAGGACCCCAGTTCTTCCACTTCCTCCACCCAATATCAATACCTTTAGCCACTACATGTGCAGTAGTAAAAAACACATTGGTTATTATTCCCTTGTGTTGAGGTATATGGATATTGCCTTGTGATGCCAATCCAAGCTTGAGGCTCCCCGCCACTTCAGTCATTGTGGGCCTTCCTTCTGGACGATTACGTAAACATTTGTTAGCAACTTCTGTGAACACCTTTAGACAGCTTGGTGATATTTGTCCTCTTATAGAGGGATCAATGCTCTGGTCAAGGGTTCCTTTTTTCATGCATCTTTTTGCCCATCGAGCTAGACCCATTTGGTCCTCCTCAACACTTGTATCCACCGGTGGCCTCGCACATAACACTTCAAATAGAACCACACCAAAGGCATACACATCCGATTTCTTGGTTAGTCTACGGCACTACGCCAAAATTGGGCTTTAGCGGCGGTTTTTTACCGCCGTTAAAGGTTGTAAAACCGCCGTTAAAACCTTTAACGGCGGTATTAATGGCGATTTCGTTACCGCCGTTTATGCACGTGTCGGAAAAAGTACAACCGTCGTAAAAAGGTAAATTACCGTCGTTAAAAGTCGACCAAAAACGGCGGTAATATAGGACCAAAAACGGCGGTTTTTTACCGCCGTAAACAGGTTCAGATTTTTTCAAAAAGTAATTCTTTCTTCTTGCATTCCCCAAGTTTTGAACCCAAGACCTCTCATCCACCCACACCAACCACTCTGCCATAGCCACTCTTCATGAAATATATTCCCTAAATAAATATTTAAACATTACTTTTACTTTATTATAGATGGTTTCGCCGGAGCTCACCGGAGTTTCGCCGGAGCACGCCGAAGTTTCGCCGGAGCTCCGCCGGCAAAGACCGCCGTCATTAACGGCGGTAATGATTGGGCATTAGCGGCGGTTTTGTTACCGCCGTTAAAAAAACGTTTCATTACCGTCGTTAAAGA